CCCCAAAATCTGTCCTAAACCTAAGGTTGAGGTACTGACCCTAAATGACCCTAGATCTGGCTGGCCCAGTGCAGAGTCTTAGATGCAAGACATACACACCAACTCTTAAAGCACGCTGTAGTGGCAAGAGGATTAAAGTATTCTGAATGCTTTGTCACTTGTAAACTAACTCTAACAGATTGTTTCTAGGTTAAATCTGGAGGAGCAATAGAACCGCTGGGTACCAGGATCACCCTTCATGTTACAGACCCTTCAGACATGACAAGAGATATACTAAAGGTAATCTCTTCCTTCAGATACCTGATAATCTTTAAATGTGTGTGTGGCTACTTCTTGGGACCTCTTCTCTCAATTTGGCCCTACTGATGAAGGAAGTGGGGTCTAGCTGGGGCTTCTGGGATTTATTCCCAGCTCACCATAGACTTTCTGTGGTCTTGGCTCTTCACCTCTGAATCCCTCAGATGGAAGCTGCTCTCTAGCACATCACCCCTTTTGGATGACCTGGAAATAAGCATACCATGTGTCTCTCTGCAGTCAGAGACATGTAGCGTGGAGATTCCAGAGCTGGAGTTCGAGCTTGGCATGGGAGCGCTGGGGGGGAAATTCACCACTCTGGAGGGGCTGCTGAAAGATATCCGAGATCTGGTGAGTGGTGTATATTAAGCTCCTGTTTAGCTGAGGTTTGTACCTGTAGCTGCATTTGGGATGCATAGGACTCCTCCCCACCCCCCCGCCAATGAACTGACTCTAAATGCTGAGAACCTGTAGCTTCCTGTAGACTTGGGTATGTAGCGCAAGCGTGCAGCACCACTGAACAGTCATTCATGTTATGCTGCAGCCTTCACTCGCCCTGCCTGGAGAGGGGGGAGCACGTCAGCCACAGTGGCTTTCATGCTCTTCTGGGGAGAGGTGGGTTGTCCTTCAGAATTCCTCTTCCTCCCTCCCCTTCTTCATTTTGCACAGTAACTGTTCTTGTAGACCCTGCTCCCCTGAGCTAGTCAGTGCATCTATCAGAGGGTTACTTGGGAGCAGCATCAATCACTCCCTCCTTAGACTCCGGATGTGTTGCCATCCCAGCCTCTCTCGATCTGAACAACTGAGGGTAGCTCTGATATGTCGCATAGCTTAATGCCTGCTCTGTTCTGGCGCACTGATGCCCACAGGAAGGCAGGCTGTAGAAGCGGGTTTCTGAGGTCATAGTAGATGGAACGGACACTGTCCCTCTGCCTTCAGAACCTGATCTAGGAGCTAAAGAGATCTCAGCACATTGGTTCCAGCTCACTCTGTACAGGGCCTCTTCACTGTAGATGTTGATTCTTAAGATACCCCACTGAGCTGAGCTGAGGACTTCCCCTTGACTGATGTAAAGATAGGAACAAGCCCTTTGTGTCTAAAGGAAACAAGGTTTCAAAAGCCTCTTATGGGTTGCCTAGAGCAGCATGCTATCATAGCCGGCTGCCAACTCCTATTAACTAGTGACTTCCCAGGGCTCCCCGAATGTCCTGGGCCAGGCTGGGCGTCGCTCACATGCAGGTACCACGAAGTATTCTGCAATAGTAACTCAGTGTGGCAGAATGTGAAGGAGCCTGTTTTCTGTTGCAGATTGTGAAAAACCCCTTCACTCTGGGGGACAGCTCTACTCCAAGCAGAGTGGAGAAGCTTCAAGAGTTTGGCAGGAAGGTGCATCAGGTTAGTAGCTTTGGTGTCCTATTCGCACTGAACCTGGCAAATGACCTGGTCAGATGTGTTCTTTGGCAGCATTGCTGCAAGTCTGAAGTGTGTAACTTTGTGGAATCTCAGCAGGCATGTAAGTTTCCCCTCCTTACGCTGCCATCCTGTTCAGTTCCCGCCTTCCACCAATGTCCTGTGTAGCCATGCTATAAGCCTTCTGCAGGGAGGGGGCTTGTGGCTCCTGCTTCAGGACCACTGATGTTGCACCATATATCATTAGGCAGGGAGCATCCCCTAACACAACATGCTTACACCCAATGAAGGCAGTAATCCTGAAACTTTCCCTGACCTCAAACCATCACACAAACTAGACTAAAGATGTTTAATATCCCTCCTCTGGCCACCTAAGTGTTGGGCAGAGCTTTCCTGTCACTGAAATGAGACAAACCTGCCATGCTGCAACACAGTCCGGGCCAAAAGGGGCGAACTGTCCATGTACTTTGAGCTAATGCTCTGTGGCACCTCCGTGCCATAGGATCTCCAAATCTTGTACATATAACTATATACATCATGGACATAGATCACATCACTGGCTGTACTAGTATTCTGATAGTCAGTGTTCAGAAGAGTAATGTAATAGGGCTTTGGCTCTGTCTGCCAGCATTCAATGATTCAACTGATGGGGGTCAAGATGGAGCACTGCATGCTGGGAGATCAAGGCACAGCCATATTAGCCATATTATCCAGTGTGGACAGCTGTGAGAAGCTGCACTTCTGTTTGAAGATTACCATTGGCTTGTGTGTTTCCTGGATGATGGAGCTGGGACACAAACTCTTCATTTGTTACACCAGACTCCTCAACCTTCAAATGTTGCAACTGTTCACAATATGAACAGGGACTAGATAGCATGACAGCAGTGCTTTGCTGCTTCCTATGCCTGGAACTCTGTCCAGCTCTAAGCCTCCTCACCTGAAGCATGTCCTGTCTTGAGTGAATGCTGGTATACACAGGAAATGCTCTAGCTGTCTGTAGAGCACTGCACATTCTTAGAATGGTGTATAAAGTGTCTGTAGCTCCTGAGGTAGCATTCTCTGCAAGGTTGAGTGTGATGTTGACAACCTGCAAGATGCAGCAGGGACTTGGATTTTAGGTTTGATTGATCACTGCTCAAATAGAGCATGTGGGGTCCTGGCTGTTAATCTGTCTCTTCATTTCCTCAGATTATGGAGGGTCACATGGAGGCTCACTTCATTCTGGATGATCCTGCAGGGAACAGCTACCTTCAGGTAGAGTATTGAGCACTTATGATGAGACTTCCCTTTAGGGTCTTCTGAATGCAGTAATCCACAGATGCACCCCCCACCCAATGCTATTCAAAACAACCAAGGAACCACTTTGGGGGTGTCCTGAGGTGGGAAGAGAATTGTTTTTTCACCTCCATGTACCTTAATGTTGGTCAGCTCCATTCCAGGAGGCAATCCCAGCGGTGGTGGTAGGAAAAAAGCAGATACATGGTTCTTCAGGGGCTGAGAGTTAAGAGCCTAAGGTCCCTTTCTCTGTTCTATTGACTTGTGGGAGCTTGGGCAAGTCACTTGATCTCTCTGCCTCACAGAATTCACTTCTAAAGGGGGCTGACCCTTGCCTTCCTAAAAGGGAGGGTAAGGCTCAACTATTATATGTAAAATGCTTTGTGATCCTTTGGCTGAAACTTGCTGGAGAAGTGCAGCGCATGTAAGTATGTGAGGCTCTGACCATACCAAAGCACAACTAACTTTCTTTCTCTCTCTCTCTCTCTGAACCAAAGAATGTCTATGCTCCAGAGGAAGATCCAGAGCTAAAAGTGGAGCACTACGAGCGCACGTTTGCACAGAATGAGGAGCTGGGCCTCAATGACATGAGAACTGAGGGCTATGAAACTGGGCTGACCTCTGAGCAGTAGCAGCACATGGAGGGACAGAAAAGCCAAACTCTTCTCACTAAGTTATTACTATTGTAATAGGGCTAAGGACCTGGCCTATCTTGCACTGGAAGCAAGCTTTTTGTGCTTAATTTACATGTGCTTAATTTACCTTTTTGGAAGTTGGCAGGTGGGCAGACCTTAAAGTCAAAAGTTGAGTGTTAATTACCTTATTTTGGAGGTTTATACTTGCATAAAGAAAAATGTAAAAAACCTGTTTGCTTGGGTTTCAGTTGTGTTCTTTGTCTTCCTGTGCATGCACTAACTGGGATCAGTAGAACCCCTCCTCCAGCAGCAGTTGGTGCTAGATCCTTGAGTAGCAGCTGGCTCTGCAGCTAGTGTCTCCAGACTGATAGTACACTTCTGTTTTTAAATGAAAACTACCCTCACCTTCTCTACACTGTGTTCCAAAGTGTTGCTTTTGCATAGTTCCATGCCCTATTTTTGTTTTTTTGTGCATGTCTTCAAGCTCACAGCTGAGAACTCCAGGTCCAGAGAAGCTTGGGTTTGAATCTTGGGAGGAAAAGCTAACAAAACAATTAGTGGTGGATCAACACAATCTCTGATTATGGCTAATACTTAACCAAGTGAGGGGTTTGGCAGTGTAGAGGCAGTTGAGTGTAGTCTGAGCTGTGCTCAGAATAAAAAAGGAATAATTTGACAATAGATGGGTTTGTCTAACTTTCAGCCTGAGAAAGTGGGGCAGCTGTACTGCACTATTATATTCCACTTGCAGCAGTAAAGGGGGAGGCAGCCTTAATTATAAGAAGGCAATGATTTTTTTATGGAGGCCCTGCAAGTCACAGAATCTGATTTCAGCTCTTGGGAGCTGCAAGATCCTCCTGGTTGTAGATGGCAGCCGGCAGGGGCCCTCCACAGCTCCTTACCCGCTGCGCGTACCCTGTAGCTAAGCTCCCTATTTTGTCCTAAACTTTTTTTTAAAAAGCAGAAGTCAGCCAGGTCCTGACCTGCTGTGAGTTTTAATTTGTTACAGGGGCCCTGTCCCTGACTCTTACTAAAAATACCCACAACACCATCTCAACCTTCCTCAGCCTGCAGTTCAGCTGCGTGGCCCCCAGTTCCCGATCCTGGTTCGACTCCAGCCCAAAAGCCTCCAGCAGGGCCCTCGGCCTGACGGGGGCTTTTAATGTCCGGACAGGCAGTTTTAATACTTTACCCCGCTGCGGCCTAGGGCGGTCCCTGCGCCCAGTCCCGCTCCCTCAGTCCCGGACGCTCCCCCTCCCCCGCTCAGCGCGCACCAGCAGGCGGAGACCAAGGGAACTCCTCGCTGCAGGAGCCCCGCCGCGCGCCCCACGCCCCTCCCCCGCCGGAAGCGCCCGCGCGCCCCGCCCCACGTGCGCCGGCCGGGGCCAGGCGGTTTCCGGTGCGCGCCGCGCGCCGTTTTGTCCCCGTCGCCGCCCCGTCCGCCCCGCCGCCATGGCGGCCCCGGGCCTGTCCAAGGCCGAGTACCTGCGGCGCTACCTGGGCGGGGCCGCGGCCGAGCCCGAGGGCGGCAGGCGCAAGCGGAGGAAGAAACCGCCGGGGAGCGGCGGCAGGGGGTGAGTGGCCCCGCTTCCGGGTCTTCCCCGGGGCCCCCTGCCTCGGGGCTGCCCGGCGCAAGTCCCGCCCCCAGGGCTCCTCGGGCCCCGCGCCGCTGCCCCCGGGTTCCCGAGCTCCGCAGTGGGGCCCCCCTTGCTCCCAGGGACCCCCCCCAGGGTCCCCCTGGCTCCCTGGGCCCCCCCTTGCTCCCAGGGACCCCCTCCCCACCTCCCACCCCGCCCCAAGGGGTCCCCAGGCTCTCCCAGCCCTTAGCCCCCCCTTGCTCCCAGGGACCCCCCCCAGGGTCCCCTTGGCTCCCTTAGCCCCCCTTGCTCCAGGGACCCCCTTCCCCACCCCCTCCCCCCCCGGTCCCCCTCCCCTGGCCCCCCTTGCTCCCGGACCCCCTCCCCACCTCCCACCCCCCCCAGGGTCCCCCTGCTCCCTCCCCCCCTTCTCCCGGGACCCCCTTCCCCACCTCCCACCCCCCCCAGGGTCCCCCTGCTCCCTGCCCCCCTTCTCCCAGGGCCCCCTCCCCCCCCAGGGTCCCCCTCTCCCTGGGCCCCCCCTTGCTCCCAGGGACCCCCTTTCCCACCCCCCCTAAGGGGTCCCCGGCTCTCCCAGCCCTTGCCCCCTTGCTCCCAGGGACCCCCCTCGGGTCCCCCTGGCTCCCTTAGCCCCCCCTTGCTCCCAGGGACCCCACACCCCACCCTAAGGGGTCCCCAGGCTCTCCCAGCCCTTAGCTCGCCCTTGCTCCCAGGGACCCCCCCGCCCTAAGGGTCCCCCTGGCTCCCTTGGCCCCCCTTGCTGCGAGGGACCACCCTCTCCCGCCCTAAGGGTTCCTCTGGCTCCTCCAGACTTTCCCCAGGCTCCCTGACCCCCCCCCCCCCCAACAATTTTCCCCACAGCGCTTAGGGATGTGATTAAAGGGTTGAAAAATGTGCTGTATAGCAGCGATTCTCAACTAGGGGTACGCCAAGGTCCTCCAGAGCGTACATCAACTTATCTCGATATTTGCCTAGTTTTACAACAGACTACATAAAAAGCCCAGACAACGACTTGTTTACGGTGCTCTATAGACTATACACTGAAACGTATGTACAGTATTTATATTTCAGTTGATTATCTTACACTTATAAGATAAAAACGAGAAAGTCAGCCATTGTTCAGTACTGGTGTGCTGTGACACATCTATATTTTTATGTCTGATTTTGTAAGCAAGTAGTTTTTAAGGGAGGTGAAACTTCGGGGGTACGCAAGACAAATCAGACCCCTGAAAGTGGTACAGTAGTCTGGAAAGGTTGAGAGCCATTGCCTTATAGTGACAGACTCAAGGATCTCGGTCTATTTGGCTTAACAAAAAGAAGGTTAAGGGGTGACCTGGTTACAGTTTGTAAGAACCTAGGTGGGGAATAAATATGTGATAATGGGCTCTTCAATCTAGCAGAGAAAGGTAGAACTGGATGTTTTTCTAAAAGATCTGCTCTAGGAATTATTGTGGGAAAATTCCCTGGTCTATGCCATATAGGAGATCCAGGTTCTCAACCTGTTTACCTTTGTGGGCTGCATCCAATACTACCTGTGTGGCCCATAGGATGTCACATGGGCTGCTGCTCTGTGCTGATTGGGACATAAGCGGCCCATGGCTGCAGGTTGAGAACCTAGATCATCACAATGGTCCCTTCTGCCCTTGGAATCTATGAATCTGAGAGACCTCCTCCACTTCCACTCTGAAGGATCCCCAAGTAACCCCTTAACCATGGGGGCCCACCAGGCATCTCCTCCCTTCTGAGACCAGAACACTTGTGTCTACCCCTATCCCCAGGGTGTGTTTGGGGCTTGGGGCTTGTGTAGCTTTTTTTCTTGCTCCCCCTGCCCTGTTCACTGCATATGGGGAGAGGTATAGCTAGAGCATCACCCCTAGGTGGCTGATTGGGGGTGGTTGGTCTCACAGCAGTAGACTATGGGGATGCAAAATGCAACTGCTGTGTCTCTGAGGGTCCTTTCTTTGCCTGCCACCTGAGTTGCGTACATTGGACACACATGCCCCTTATTGCTTCATTCATTTGCTTTGTACTCCCTCCCATGAGCCATGGTCCTTTCCTAATGCCACTACCTTTCTCCCCCTCCTCTCAGGATGCGAATAGTGGATGATGATGTGAGCTGGAATAGCATTTCTGCTGCACAAGAGAAAGAGGAGGAGGAAGAGGATGAAGGGGATCTGCCTGTGGTGGGTACTCAAGGGTCGGGAGGCTTGTGCTATCAAAAACCAAAGTACTGATTTTATTGAGCACCCTTACAAACTTTCTGCTGTCATCATGGGGGGGAAACACTTGCCAAGCAGTGCCCGGGGGAATGGCTGCCTGTGTAAGTGGACAAAGTGAATAACTTGTCTGGTTTAACTGTAGAGAGATCTGATTAGCATCCTAGAAAGAATGATACTTTGCATTCAGATTTTTTATATATGCATTGCAGTAGATCTAAAAGCTTAAAGCAAACTGGAGCCTCGTTCTGCTCGGCCTTGTACAACCGTCAGCAAAGGGAGCATTTAGTTTGTAAGCTGTTGGTGATAGGGACTGTTACTTACTACATCTCTGTCTTGCATTAAAAAAATTAACAAAACAACATTATAGCAAAAGGAGAGAGCAGCTGACCCTGCAGTGCTGCTGTTCTGTGAAGATGTTTCAGAAATAGGAAGTAAAATTGACCAATGGCATAAGTGGGTGCAACTCTGTTGGCCTTAATCAGTGTCAGATTTGTCCCAGAGCACGTGTGAAAGATGTGGCTGCACAAGGGCTGTGTTACACTACACGTCCCATAGAGAATCCAGGATGCGAGTGTCTAAAAGTAACTGAAAAGCACTTAGAGACCATTATGCTTCATGACTCATGTCCCTCTTCTGGGGTAATTGCTTCCGAGAGCAGAGATTCTCAACCTTTTTCCTTTGTGAGCCCCCCCAGCATGCTATAAAAACTCCCCGGCCCACCTCTGCTGCAACAGCTGGTTTTCTGCATATAAAAGCCAGGGCTGGCGTTAGGGGGTCACAAGCAGGGGAATTGCCTGGGGCCCCATGCCACAGGGGCCCCTGCAAAGCTACATTGCTCAGGCTTTAGCTTCAGCCCTGGGTGGTGGGGCTCAGGGACCTGGGCTTCAGCCCCATGCAGTGGGGCTTTGGGTTTCTGTCCTGGGCCCCAGCGAGTCTAATGCTAGCCCTGCTTGGAGGCCTCCCTGAAACCTGCTCGAGGCCCCCTTGGGGGCCAAGGACCCCTCGTTGAGAATTACTGTGCTAGAGCATATTTTCCTGTGCTTTGTCTATCTAGTTCAGGTTCCAATGACACACTGTAAGTAGACAGACTGTAACTAGCAACTTTTAGTAGGATGTTATTGAGTTAACAATCATATTTTTAAAAGCCTTTGTTTGAGTTACTAACAGCACCTGAGATACTGAAAGATTTTTAATGAGACTGATCAGTTTCACTTACTGCTTCTTTTGCGGTAGCCCATCTTCAATGTCTTGTGAACAGATACTGTTTAGATTTAAAACTTCCCTTCAAACAAATACAAACAAACAAAGTTCCCATTGGAATTGATAATTTTTTTTTTTTTTTGCTAATTCCTGTTTTTGAGCCAAATCTAAATTTTGATCTGAGACTGCTTGGCATGGTGGGTCTTTAGAGATTGATTTTTAAATGAAAAAGAAGCAGAGGAGAGCTGTTCCAAAACAAAAGCAACAGATGAGAGAAATATTTTGAAAAGTTTTAAAACAACCTCTTGTAATGAAATCAAATAAGCCTGTGCAATTGATGTTGTGAGCTAGACTTTGCAACTTAAGTAGTAAGGGATGTGTTCTTTTCTAGAGTTACAGAGAACAACCCAGCATTTAATACATAGTCAGATATCAATGTACAGGAAGTCTGTGCAGCAGAATAATGGAGGTTTACAGGCAAACCACATTAGTTGCCTGAATGTGTTTATTTTTGAGAGTAAAAAATCTCTTTGGTTCTAACTCTGCTACTTTACATTCAGGTGGCAGAGTTTATTGATGAGCGTCCAGAAGAAGTGAAACGGATGGAAGAATTCCGGACAAACAATAAATGGAAGCTTTTAGGAGGTAAGCTTGGAGTGGTGGTTTTGGTTGTTTTAGCCCCAGTAAAGTTTTCAGCTTGGTACAATACCCACAAATGTAGTAAGTCCTTGTTCCAAATAATTTACAATTAAAGATAGATATGTAGGAAATACTCTGTAACCCAGAGATGGAGAAGTCTTAGGTTTTATAGGGTTTTCATTCCATATTTCAATACATATGTCTTATGAGCCTTACAGAAGAAAAGAGCTTTCAGGAGGAACTTGACCAAAGAGAAGTGGTTTGGCTTAGAAGGGGTGTTCCACAGGAAAGAGGCAGCATGGAAAGTTGCATGTGGAAAGTGATAGAAGGAAATGAAGAGAGATTCAGGACTGGCATTTTACAGAGAACAGAGGGGCTGATGGGATACAGTGGGACACAGGATGAGATGCGGATGGGGGGACTTGTGAATGGGTTTGAAGATAAAGCCAAGACCTTCAGCTTGACTTCAGCAAGGTGATGCCCTGCAATTGTCAGGTTGTCATCGATGGAATTGAGGGTGAAAGTGAGCATAGTCATCATCTGCAGAAGATGTGAGGGCAGGGGCCCTCTTAGTTGATTGCAGGGAGCCCTGTCTGACTTCATCTAGGGAGCACATCTGGGCTAACTTTCCATTCCCTTCCCCTGAGTATATTGCCCCTGCAAGCTGAAAAATAAAACACCAACAGAAAAAGCATAAACCTCACAAGTCCTGAGATGTGCTCTCATTTTATGGAGAAATCATAGGACTGGAAGGGACCTTGAGAGGTCATCTCGTCCAGTCCCCTGCACTCATGGCAGGACTAAGTATTATCTAGACCATCCCTGACAGGTGTTTGTCTAACCTGCTCTTAAAAATCTCCAGTGCTGGAGATTCAACAACCTCCTTAGGCAATTTATTCCAGTGCTTAACCACCCTGACAGGATGTTTTTTCTAATGTCCAACCTAAACCTCCCTGGCTGCAATTTAAGCCCATTGCTTCTTTTCCTATCCTCTGAGGTTAAGAAGAACAATTTTTCTCCCTCCTCCTTGTAACAACATTTTATGTACTTGAAAACTGTTATCATGTCCCCTCTGTCTTCCCTCATAGGTCATGTTTTCTAGACTTTTACTCATTTTTGTTGCTCTTCTATGGACTTTCTCCAATTTGTCCACATCTTCCCTGAAATGTGGCGCCCAGAACTGGACACAATATTCCAGTTGAGGCATAACCAGCGCAGAATAGAGTGGAAGAATTACTTCTCTCGTCTTGCTTACAACACTTCTGCTAATACATCCCAGAATGATGTTCGCTTTTTTTGCAACAGTGTTAGACTGTTGACTCATATTTAGCTTGTGGTCCACTATGACGAGAGTCTAAGTGATGATCTTTTCTTTTTTTAGATCAGAATGAAGATTCACAAAGCTCAGACCTTTCTCTAGCTGCCAAGTCTATAGCAAGGTATGGGGCTTTGCCTGGGGTCGTGGTTACCAGGTTCTTTTTTATTTTGTATAATACTTTGTTTTCAGTGTTGCCCCTTTTATCACAGGTTCTCACAGTACTTTACAGTTAAGCCTTATGATGTAGGAAAGGGATATATGAGGATTGCTTTATTCAGTCCTAAAATGCATTCACCTCTGGGGGAGAATGCAGTAACTGTCTATTACAGTGTACAGAAATACTACACAACACCTTAACACAGGAAGCAGATTTATTCCATAGTCATTTAAATATGTAGAGAAAATGTTGGTGACTGCGTGCTGCCAAGCAAAGCTGGAATGTGATGAGGACAGTAGAGTTCCCTCGTTTTCATAACAGCCTTGGGATCTTTATATTCTCGTATGACTCCTAAAAACATTCCGACTGCCCATAATAGTGGAAGGGGCTGAAACAGATTTTAAGTATCATGTTGGTCATAAAGTGATTCTGGTAGAACTTAAATGCCAACGCGGCCGGAGCTCAGAGGGCCCAGGTATAGGAGCCCTTTTGGGGTTTTTGTGTGGTAGTGACAGATCAGAGGTGACAAGTGCAGGAATTAATCTGTGTGAACGTCTGTCTGTGAAACTGAGAACCAAATGCGAATTGGTAACCAGCGCTCCATTCAGGAGGGCTATTAACACCCTTTAAACCCCCGCTGGCTGCTTTACAAACCCCTTGTTTTGTTTTTATTTCCAGTTCAGAAACCACAAAACAAAAGAAAATTAAACACTCGTCTGAACCATCACCTCCCAGGAGAGGTCGCCATGATTCACCTGAGAGCTCTCCACCCAGGAAGCAGCGTCATGATTCTTCAGATGAGTCTCCATCCAGGAATCAGCGCCGCGACTCGCCGGACCTGTCGCCGCCCCGGCGGGGCCGCCGCGACTCGCCGGACCTGTCGCCGCCCCGGCGGGGCCGCCGCGACTCGCCGGACCTGTCGCCGCCCCGGCGGGGCCGCCGCGACTCGCCGGACCTGTCGCCGCCCCGGCGGGGCCGCCGCGACTCGCCGGACCTGTCGCCGCCCCGGCGGGGCCGCCGCGACTCGCCGGACCTGTCGCCGCCCCGGCGGGGCCGCCGCGACTCGCCGGACCTGTCGCCGCCCCGGCGGGGCCGCCGCGACTCAGTGTCAGGGAAAAAAAGCAACAAAACTATGGACAAATCGCTACCAGGAGGAATCCAAGGAGAGCGATCTAATCTGAGATCCGGCTTCCCACACAAGTCCTCATCGCATCATAAGCAGCAGATAACTCCAGATCTTTCACCCCCCAGGAAGAACAGAGACAATTCTGACCTAGCCACATCACCATGTCAGAGAAAGAGAACTGGATCACCTAATGGGCTGAAAAAACAAAGCAGCACAAGAGGTGAGTGTGTATGAGATCATCCAGCGCTAGCCGGGTGCTCTTGGGAACAGCAAGTCACTCAAGTTCGTGTTATTTCTAAACGTTTGTCAGGCCCCAGTCTGTGACCATGTTTGAACACTGCTGCCAGCTGTGGGATTTGGAATCAGTGTTTCACACTTTCCCTTGGTACGTTAAAGATGGTAGGACTTGGACTTATCTTACAACAAGTACAAAAATCCCCAGTAACGAAAGTTTTGTAATGATAAAGCTAAGTCTCTCAGTCCCGTTCTGCACAGACTTAGCAAGGGGTTAAAAATCAACTCAAAGTGCCTATATCAGAGGCAAATTCAAGTAAAAGGAACCTCACGGAAAGAGAAGAATATTTCCAACACGTGTTAGTGAATGTTAATAATATCCTTTTTCCCTGCACATGAAGAGGTGGCCTTAGGGACAGCTGACCTAGCCCATGCTGATGGGAAATAGCTCAATCAGGAACGAAGCTGTTGGAGCAATGCTGATTATACCTAAGTACTTACCAGTATTTTTATAGGTGTAGAAGAGGGATTTTCAAAATAATGTCCAGGACCAGTTGGGGCTGTTCTTAGAGTTTGATACAGAGTTCTAAAAGGAGTGCCCAGGCAGGGCTTAGCTGTCTGTGTACCCTATTATCACATGGCTTGTTTAACATCTCTTCTGGTTTCCAAAACTGGCTAGTTTAGCTCTGCAGAGATGCACCACAGACGCTAGCGTGTCCAGGCTTTTACAGGGCTCCAAATTGTATTTCTTCTGTGATTATAATTTGATATCTCTGTATTATTGCAGGCGTTTCTCCAGCCAATAAAAAGCCTAAACAGGCTCTGTCGCCTAAAAGGCGCAAGAGGCATGACTCTGATTCTTCACTGCCACGGAAGAGTTCCCAGGATTCCTCTGATTCTGACCTTTCCCCCCTTCGGAACAGTCGCAGACCAGGCCTGCTACACCGTGACTCCCACTCCAAACTCTCTCCTCCCAAGAGGAATCAGAACACATCTTCGGATTCTGATTTATCTCCTCCCCGAAGGAGTCAGGCAGCTGGAAAGAAACTCCACAGTTCAAGGAGCTCTCCTAGCCTCTTGCCTCCTCGTCGAGGCCCAGATTCTAAAAGATCTTTTCAGGGGGAGAGAGGAGAGGACCAGAGGGTAAGCTTGTAAGGTATACGTTTCCCACGCTGCCCTCCTTACATGCCTCACCCCGTCCTGCAGTGAGCATTGGTAAGGATGAGTGATTAGCTTTGTCCTCTTGGCCCACTCAGTCTTTGTGTGTCTGCTGAGAGTGCCCACAAGGGGGCCAGTTATTGCCCCGGGGAGGGAGGTGGCTTGGTGATATGGGCATTTCTCCTAAGAACTGGACTGAGATCACCAGCTCATTACATGGATGGGCCTCCACAGCCTTCAGCTAGTGATAATGTGTGGTATCCCTTTTGGATTTGCAGGCCAGCCAGATGCTGTCTGGGGGTAAAGCTGGCTTGGTGTCAGCCGACCTGCTGCGGAGAGAACAGCAGGAGCACAGGAGACATGACAGAAATAACAAACACTTGGAAGGTAAAGAGTTAATGAGACTGTAATGGGCATCAACTTCCTTCAACCTACAGCCTGGTTCCTACTGCTTTTTTCTGTGCTAGTCGTAGGGGTTTTGGGTGTGGTGGGCCCTGGCTGAAGTGATTCTCTGTGGGGTAGCATCTAGGCACTCTGAAAGGCCTTCGAAGGGCCTGTAAAGCCCCTTCATTTTCAGTTTAAATCGATTTTTACTAAAAAAGTCGCAGGTTTTACAAAAAGTATTCACTTTTTTTTCTCATTTTCACCATACTTTTGTATCATTCAAATACATAAAAAAAACTTGTTTTATTAGGAAAATACAAGACATTGCATGAGATATATGTATTACGATAATACAATACTCTGCGTGTGTGTACATGCAAAATTGCTTGTTGAAGTAAGGCTACGTATTAACCTAGATAAGGTACACACAATAAACAAACAGGCACGCATGCAAGCTCTGAAGTGCGTGTGTGTGCATCCGAACATACTGATAAATCTCATGCCGACCATGTACACATTTCAAGCTGTTAGCAGCTAGCGGTTTAAAGATTTGACACACTAAAATGGGAAGAAAACTAAAATCTATATCAGAATACATTTCAGAACACAAGGAGGTATTCAAAAGTTTAAAAAAAACTCAAAATCAGGAGAAAAGGATGAAGTTGAGTGTATGCGCGGCAAATGGTGTCGCCCAATTATTAAATGTAAATATTTATAGGTTAATAGTTCTAAGTCTACAACAGTAAACTGTTTATTCAAATGAAAAGTTTTGTTTGGGGATTAGCAATATATTGTTTTCTTAAACTCAGAAGTGGCATTGTGTTTTGAGTTCTGTTTTAGTTCTGTAGCAAACCACATTGAACGGAATTCAAAGCGGTAATCCATCTACTGAATACTTTTTTCCCATCTTTCCGTTCACCAAAATAAACCCTGATACTTACCTAGAAACATTATTAATAGTTTTTTGCACTGATTTTCACCTGTTTTTGGTGTTGTGGTAATAAACACTGATAAATTCCTGGGAAAAATTAAATAAAAACTGAAAACAAAGGGCCCTAGGCCTGTAAAGTAAATGAAATGTAAATGGTGGAACCCCCCCCGAGCACTGCTCCCCATGAAATAATAATAGAGAGGGCTGAAGCTTTTGGGACTTGCATCAGGGTGCTAGGCAGGCTCAGGGAGCACTTCTTAAAAGAACAGGGTCAGACTGAGATTTGAAGAGGCCTACCTACAAGGACAGTTGTGGTCAGTGGCTAGAAACTGGTGGTTGTGGTTCTGTTGTTATTGGTTGGTGACCTTTTTCTGAGGCTGGAATACTTTAAAAACAAAAAAATATACATCAACCAACCAAAACACAAGGCTCTTGAAGTGCGTAGAAATGATTAACTGAATTGACTGAGATCTTGGAAATGTTCTAAAATGACTAACCTGCACCTTCTCATGTCTTCAGATGAATCCCAAAATGCTGAAACAGTCTTTCGAGACAAATCAGGCCGCAAGAGGGACCTTACGCAGGAACGACTTGAACAGCAGAAGAAGGCGGAGGCGAAATCTGAGAGAGATGAGCTGTATGCCAAGTGGGGCAAGGGGTAAGAAGCCCCAGAGTTCAATAGCAAACTGCTCAGTCCTTCTGTTCCATGGCATAATATCCCCTCCCCCTAATGATGTAACACCTCTGTTTCCAACAAAGATGGCCATTTTGATGGTGGTTTGAGTGATATGGATGCAGGCCCACTTGTGACTGGAGTGAGATCACTGGACTCCTTTCCCAGGGAGCACTGACCAGGCACTGAGATTCTGGATTTGAACCTGTGACCTGGACACCAAATGTTCTCTGTCATCTTAGAGATCTCTTGAATCTTCCTGTCCAGCACTGGTGTGTGGAGTGTGAGTGCCGTACACTTGTTGGTAGCACAGGATTGCAGTCAGCCAAGCACACTGAGCAAGCAGTAGGATGTGCCCTGGGTCTGACTTGCTCTAACATAAGGCTTCGTATGTTTCTTTTCAAGCCTGGCTCAGAGTAGGCAGCAGCAGCAGAATGTGGAGGATGCAGTAAAGGAGATGCAGAAGCCATTGGCTCGTTACATTGATGACCAAGACTTGGATCAGATGCTTCGAGAGAAGGAAAGAGAAGGGGACCCCATGGCTAACTTCATCAAAAAGAAGAAAGCCAAAGAGAGCAAGGATAAGAGAGGTTGGTTTGTATTTGTTATGGCAGTTCAGGGCTCCAGTGATTGCACTGGTGAACAAGGCTGCTGTGAATAAATACACAGCACAAGACTCACCGTAACAGATCAGTCTGTTTCTGGTGGATGTTAGTGCAGTAGTGGTAATAACTCACTGTACTGTTGTTTGCCAGCTGTGGTCTGATTGGCTTAGAGACCAGGTGAACAACAGTGCTATGGTCTTATGAACCAACAGAGTTAAACTAGATTAAAGGTGGTATTTGGAAGTTGCCTCCATGAATAATGGTCAGTGCTCAGCGGGCTGGCTGGCTGGCTCAGCATTCAGCGCTTGTGTGTGTACACTGGTTTCGACTGATGTTAACATAACCACATGGTTGGGCTGAAATAGTAATGGATTATATTGTTGCTTTTCTCTGTCTCTAGAGAAGCCCAGGTACAATGGACCAGCACCTCCCCTGAACAGGTTTAACTTATGGCCTGGGTATCGCTGGGATGGAGTGGACAGGTAGGCATTCCTGTTAAGTTTGCGGCGGTAGAGGTAGTAGATGGGCCTCTGCCCTGAAGAGCTTACCCTGAGCTCAGGGGATAACCCAGACAAAGGCATGGGGGAAGCATGCTGTACTGCCTGCACACAAAGGCGTTTGCACACAGTCTCTTGGCTTAATGAGCTTCCAAAGCTTTTTTTTTTTTTAATGATGTGAATTTCATGCCAGAGTGAGGTGCTGGCTCAACGCCCCGAAAGACCAGAGTTCTCTGTTGACCAGCACAAGGGGAGCAGCCTGGGTAAGCAGCACTGCAGGCTTCTCGTTAGAGCTGCTTGAATTTTTGGGGCGTGAAAATGGCTTTTCAGTGATACCGAAAAATGTTTGCCTTGGCAATTTTACAAATCGTTGGTCAAATTGAAATGACCAACTATTGGGTTTCAGGTTTTTGCAGGTGCATGCCCCTTCCTCTTTTCCCCTTTCCCATCCTCCCCCTCTTTTTTCCCCAGTGAGGTGGGAGGAGGACCCCAACCGGTCTTTTCTGTATTGATTATAACTTTTTTTTTTTTTCATTTTTAGATGAAAAATCAAAAACTTCCATGAAATGTATGTTTTTAATTTTTCACAGAAAATACTTGCCATTTTCTTACCATCTGTGCTTTCCACACCCTGCTCTCCCCCTTGCTAATATGCCTCAGTGCTGACATTTGCAGACCCTTGCTATGGTGAGCTGGGAGACCAATCTCCATAGTTTGTCCGTCTTGCCAATGTGGGGATACGTGGCTTTTGCAGTCAGGACATCTATCGTTAGAAACTGGAAGGAGTCTCGCCTAATTTGCTGTACAGTGGCCACTGAACTGCCACCAGATGGCACCAGCTGTTGTTAACTATGGATGGAGCTGAAACTGAGCCAGCAATCTAGAAATGGAGGGGAGCTTGAGCAATCTGGTCATTCCAAAAGGTTTCATTTCTCAGAAATGGCTTGGTAAAGTATATTGTGCACCAACCCACACTCTTGTTGATGTTATTTTGTAGGTCCAATGGGTTTGAACAGAAGCGCTTTGCCAGGCTAGCCAGCAAGAAGGCAGTTCAGGAGCTTGCATATAAATGGAGTGTTGAGGACATGTAAACAAAAGAGAGAACCAAATGGAAGACTGCTCCTGGCTCCCTGGCAGGGAGGAAGAGAGACCTCAGTACACCTAATGCCGTTGCAAGAGCTGTAAGAAATGGCTTATTCTTCCCTGAACACCTCTTCTCCATAGCATTTAGTGTTAAAGAGGACTACCTGGGGATGACAAGGCTGCCTCTAAAGGAAAGTTCAAGATGTTCCTGGAAGAGGATGAAAACAGGTCACTCTGTCCAGGCAGGCAGAGAGGAGAAGGGGGAAACTTTGGGTCCCTTGAGCACAGAGAAGAACTTCTACAGCTTTACTGCAAGCAGCCAACAGGTTGAATGCAGAGGCAAAGTGCAGTATCCTGCTACCTGCAGGAGCTGTTCTGCTCTCTTGGACCTGCTGTGAGATGCAGAAGAGACACCAGTTTCTGGCATTAATATTTTTTTAACAAATTATATATAAATACATTTGTAACCCTATTTTCAGCCAAACTCCTGGTCCCCTGGAGGTGTTTTTGGGATCTGTTGGTTTTCAGTTGTGTCCCAAATCTCAGGTGCTTCTCTGGGGTGCGGAGAGGATTAAAGAAAACTACTTCATAGAATAATTATGCTTTTGCGTGTCAAGATTGTAAACCGAAAGTTGAGATTTCAGCTGTGGGGAGCTCAACAGGTATTTGTAGGCAGTGGTGGCAGCTCGTGCTTTAATACCATCAGCTGGCTTGTCGCTGTTGTGCCTCAGAAAGTCTGCCTGATGTCATTGCTAAGGAGCCTGAAGTGGCTTTTCTGTCCCGCAATGTGTGGATTCCTCGACTGGCAGTGAAAGTTGTAAAGCAGAAGCCCCTCTTGCTCTTAGCTGTGAGCTAAGCTAAGTAGACGAATATTTCCTACAATGCCTTGTTCCATATGGTGTAACATCACTATCTGGTCCCTTCCTAAATGGGGTTTTTTGAGAGAGGGGTGTGGGGGAGAAACTCTTTTGTTGTATTTGACAAAAAACCCATCCTGGCTAAAAGCTCTGGCAGTTGGTCTGGGTTAACTGCTTATGGAAAGATGCAGGTAATGGTGGATTTAAATGTACTACCCTGAATGTGATTTTCTTTTGAGTATCTGATGGCAAGGGGTTGGTCTCTATCGAGCGGTCTGATAGTAACAGCTAGCTTGGCAGTTGCATAGTCACAGCCTTGCTGTTTGCACGTTTGTTTAAACCTGAAATCTAACTTTCAGAACAGATGACCACTCTGCCAAGACTCTGAGCCACAGTTAAGGGAGAGACAATGTGGCCTGGTCCCTCCTGTTGAGAAAGCACCTCTGATCTCACAGGCAGCTGGAGTTTTCTCTTGTTTACTTTGCAGAGAGAAGGTGTTGAATGCCCCAGCTGTTTCCATGGAAGGTCCTTGCCTTAGTAGCAGTCTGGGTCTTGGGATAGGAATTAGGCTCCCATGGTTCTCATGCTGCATGAGAGTGCTGGGTGGGAAGTATAGTGCAAACGTTTTCTTAGGAAATGTGATTCTTGGGGTGATGCTTTCTCCTGGTCAAAAGGTCATGCTCCTTTTTTATTTAACAGGTTAAATTTCTAGCAGTCCTGTAACCTGGATGTACAATTGTAAATAATAACTTTGTTTTTTAGCTGGCTCTTTGTGTGGGGTGGTTTTTTTAAACTTTAAACCTACAGCAGGGGTTAAGTTGGCATAGGTGTGTCTCTCAGGGGTGTGGATTTTTCAGACCCCTGAGACAAGTAGCTCTACCGATTTAAGTTCCTGGTGAAGACCAGCTCCAAACACAAATACATGTATAAGATAAATGTATGCATGGCACAGACATCATATTATAATCGTTCACAACAGTTACAATTAAGTTTGAATTGGTGATTAAAAAAAATTAACCCTTGGATTTTTTAAGTCAATGTAAGTTGTAGGCCTTTGCCCTCTTGAGATAGACGTATATAAATAGACTTTTGTTTTTGTCATCTGATTTTTCTGATAAGTCACGTGCTGCTGGTGCTCCTCTGTTACTCCAGCTTTGCAGAAAACTACTGTTTGGCATTGTTCAGATAGAAAGTTGGAAACGCTCCTTTTGCTGAGGAATGCATATCTGTCTAATCAGGACCATTTAAGTGCTAACACTAAGCACAAACAATTTTTATTTTCTTTAAAATAAAATGCAAAATAATAGGCTAACGCACTCTGAAAGCTAGTGTTAAAATATTAGAAGTTATTAAAGGTAAAATTCCTACAGAATCCTTAAACAAACAGGAAATACAATGAAATTAGGTACAATTATTGTGTAATTTCAATGGATATTACATTTGTATTGCTGTATCTTAAGAAACAAATACCACATCCATGCACAACAGCCAAATTAATAGTAGCTATTCTGAGTGTGCATCTGCACTGTGATCGGAGGTGATTGCTTACCCGCACTAGCTTTAATCTCGCTAACCTGGCTAAAAGGCAGCGAAGACATGCAGGCTGTACAAGCCTGCCAAGAACCCTTGGTATGTACTTGTGTATCTATTCTGTGCTGCTGCGTCTTTGTTTTTAGCCACGCTAGCTAGATTAAAGTTAGCATGTGTACTTCTGTGTGAGCTGCAATCACACCTCTGCAGTATAGGCATACTCAGTCTCAGAGATTTAGATGATGCCATTTTAATGTTGCTAAGATGCACAAAAAACAGTTTATCAAATTGTCTAGTTAGTAATTGTTTGCCCATTAGCATCCTGGGGACAGCGTTGATTTGGCTGAGGGACCTGGATCTACACTGCATATCAGGCTTTAACGGGCACAAGAGAATTCATTGCTTCTCTTCCCTGCTGCTGTTGCTGGATCAAGTACGTTTGCAAACGACAGACTGGGAGCGGGATTGGCCTGAAAGAGAGTGTGGAGAATCCCGTTATGTGGATGTATGCCTAGTGCAAGCGAAGCCGTTGTTGCATGGCAGCAATCAGGATGCTGCCATGGCCTGCCTGGACTCAGTCACCGAAAGAAGCCGTACCTGTAAGACTCCCTGTGGACGGTGGAGAAATCCTGCTTTCCCTGTGCTCGGATTGGTTTCTGCTCTGGTTTGCAGTTCTTCACCTTCTCCGCTCTCTGGGGCAGGAACGTGCTGTGTGTGATAGTTTGGCTTTCAAACTTGGCCTAGAAATCCAAACAGTCACAGAGTTCAGTCCCTTTTTTTTGTATTTTACACTGCAAGGTGTTGGGAAACGCTATCAAAGTGGCCCCTGCCCCAACCATGGCTACATTAAACATGAGCCAACTGCTAACTAGAAAAGGAGTACTTGTGGCACCTTAGAGACTAACCAATTTATTTGAGCATGAGCTTTCGTGAGCTACAGCTCACTTCATCGGATGCATACCGTGGAAACTACAGCAGACTTTATATACACACAGAGAATATGAAACAATTCATATTTTCATATTCTCTGTGTGTATATAAAGTCTGCTGTAGTTTCCACGGTATGCATCCGATGAAGTGAGCTGTAGCTCACGAAAGCTCATGCTCAAATAAATTGGTTAGTCTCTAAGGTGCCACAAGTACTCCTTTTCTTTTTGCAAATACAGACTAACACTGCTGTTCCTCTGAAATCTGCTAACTAGAGATACCGGCAACTTGTCAGCTTCCTTTCCGTTCTGAATGCGGAGCAGAGGTAATTACATTTGAAAAAGAAAGAAATGGAGAACGATAGGAAATTGCTTTTAGGAAATATTAAAATGTGTTAGCAAGGAAGCAGGGTTTTTCCCCTGTTGTTGCCACGGTCAGTTGTAGATGCTCTGTCACTGCCAGTGTCACAGAACAGATGAGGTAAGGCACTTGTAAATATACAACAGGCTGTGCGAGGGGCAGACAGACGTGGCCTGTCTGGATTCTGCCGTCTATATTTCTGGATGTTCCTGAATGCTGTTTGCTAGGGGGTCTGGGACATAAAGTAGCATGTGTGTGCTGCCAGGGTAGCAGTCAAAATACCCAGGTTTAACGTGGTGAATATTTGCCTAAGGGCTGCTTTCCTCCACCTCTTGCTGTCTCAGATGTGCCCCTTCTTGGGGGGAGCAGTAGAGGACCTAGACTGACTGGTGGCAGCAGTAGGGTGCCCAGCTCCAGCCCTACCCATTGAAGCAAGAGGGCTGTCTTTGTTCCGGTCATTGTTTCCTCACTGGATGTTTGCTCCAAGCTCCTGTTCCACTCCTTCATTCCCTGCCCACCAGCTTCCTCTCCCACACCTCTTTGGCCCAGGTAACAACTCCCTTCCTCACCTCCCATCATGTTAGTGCCACACTTCTTCTTTTAAAGGTGATATCTGCAGCTATCCCGCTGCCTGTGTCTTGAATCCCCATGTGTCTCTCCATGTGTCTATTCAGATAATAAACTCTGCAGGACAGGGACTCTGCATGCCTGGGGAGTCTGTGCAGCACCTGCCATGGTAGGACCCTGACTGAAATTTGGCTGCTGTTCTCTCGAGCACATTATCATTCATGGGACAGTGGCCTCTGTCTTTGTGGTACCCTGTGGAATTTGTCTGGTGTACAAGGCTAGGCTGAGGCTATTGGATGCACTCTGCTTTCACAGGACCGTCTGTGTTGTGTGAGGGTACCAGCCATGGGCAGCCCTTTAGCAGGAGCTGTCTCCTGGCCCCATCGTATTACCAGAGGTCGGATGTAGACTCCATCGTGGGGGTCGCCTTGCCGGATTCGGGGCTGGGCTCCCCAGTCTCTGAAGAAGAACTTGTGGGCTGTGGAATTGTCAAACTTTGCAGGGAGGGATCTCAGCACCGTGGGGGGCCACTGGATGGTCTCCAGAGGCCTGTCCAAGGGCAGAGGAGGGTAAGAGAGCTGGAAAGAGACAAAGAGAGAGTCAGAAAAACAACCACAAGCTTTTTTATAGTACTTTTCATCTCTAGATTGCAAAGAGGCAGAGCCAGATTTTCAAAAGAGTTTTGCACTTTGTAGCTCCTATTGAGAACACGGCAGAGTTCTCTTTTTTTAAAAGTCTGTCCCTTGGTACATAGAGAACGTGGCGTTAGGAAACACCACTTGCTGTTCCAGGTGTGGAGCTGGGAGTGGAATGGCTGAGTGCATGATTTACACCAATGGTTTACTACTGGGTCACAATGACACCAGGGCAAGAGGGAGCCAGCCCATTTCTGCCATGCAGGGGCAGGACAGGACAAAACTGTGGAAAGTGACACTGATACCCAAGGGTTGGGGGAGGAGGGGAGGTTCAGGCAGCATTCCCTCCATCTCATTTTTTCTTTAGCTTCCTTTTTTCCCCACTGGCAGGATCACTGCAATAGGGGATTCTCTGTCCATGCTGCACAAAGCAATCACTGCACCCTCGGCACAAAAGCCAAGGGGTGCCCAGATACTGGTCTCACCTGACCCTGCACGCTGGCTTAGAGTTACTGACTTACTGAATGAAAGCAAAATATAATTATCCTGAACTTCTGGCATGGCTTGTCCAAGAATCTCCAAGCAGTTCATCAGTGGGAACTGCATGGACCACACCCCTTTATCCCTTTACAAACGCTGGCTAATTAAGGAGATTTTCAAAGCTTCCCAGCCTGTGGGGCGAAGAAGTGTCACTGTTCCCATTTTACAGACAGGAGGGGAAGAAACTTGCCCAAGCTCATAAAACAAGGCAGTGACAGAGCTGGGAATTAACCTAGGCACCCGGACTCCTAGACCTTGTGCTCTAATCACTAGATTTATTCCCACTGTGTCAGTGAGAATCATCTTTATTCATTCACTGAAATTAACTTTGCTCAAAGAGTCCCTTGATCTCCATATAACCCCCCTTTCCTTCCCGTTACCTTGGTCACCGTGTCTCCACTGAATTTTCCATCCCACTCTCTCCCCAAGTCTGCCAGCTCCTCTTTCAGCTTGATAGGGCTGGCACGAGGGTATCTGCGGGTGTCCCAGCCATGGTAGCTTTCCCTCTGCACTGTCTGAAAATCTGTGCTGGGTGGAAGAGGGAAACACTTCAGCTGCAAGGAGGTGAATCAGGTGTTCCTTAGAGCTTTGCACACCAGCCATCACTGTGCATCTCCTGCGTTCTATTTGTGGCTGTGCCAAGGACTTGCTGTGCAACCTCAGACAAGTCACTTCATTGCTCCATGCCTTAGTTTCCCCATCTGTAAAATGGGGTCAACACTGAGCTACTGCGTTTGGTAAGTGTGTGCGTTAATATCAGTGAATGCCCGCCGGGCACTGTTCACTTGAGGATCTCAAAGCCCTTGGCAATGTTGTTTATAGGAACAAAATCCTGTTTTCTTCCTCTTCCCAAAACTTGTTGCTGGGGTTGGATGCAGCATTCTTCTGACTGAGAGGAGGGGAGGGCCCTTGTGCTAGCTCTCTGTCAAAGGCTCAGCTTACCTGCTCTGCCGCCTGAGGGATCCTTGCTGCAATGCTGAGACAAACCCCTCGTCTTGCCTGGGGTTTCCCCATTCCAAGCACTACCCATGGGCGTTACTTGGTGGCTGCACTCACCTGAAGCCCTGGTTGATTGCCAGGTTGTCCAGAGGAGGCTGAGCAGGCCAAATCCGTGCAGGTAACAAGCTGCATGCTGGGAAATCACTCTGGTACTTGGTCATGTATTCCACCTGTGTTCGTTTCCTTGCTGGCACTACTCCCTTACCGCTTGACTGGGCTACCCGCTTCCCTAAGGGCACAGACTGGTAGGTGCTCTGGTGGGTTGTCGTCATGTCATGATCACCTAGCAGAACAGAAAGCAATGTACTGTCCCGTGCCATGGGGGTGGGGGTTAGTCTTTGGAGGGGCTACCCCTCTCTATAGGAGCAGGGTTTGGCTGGTTCGCCAACCCTAGTGAGAGGGGCTGCAGAAATCAAGAGCATCCCATGTCTTAGGCCAGATTAATAAAACAATACATCTCTCAGCTAGTCTCAAACTTGTTGGACAGTAAACTCAGGCTGGAGAATGGGGAAGCTTTTCCCGGTTCTGGTTTGGAAAGTACCCCAGAGAGAGCTCAGCCCAGGCTTTCAGTGTCGTCTCAGCACTCCGACAGGCCCTGGGCTGGCAGTTGAGAAATGACATGGAAACGAGCCCCCCCAGCCGGTAAGCTCAGCTCTGCCATGCTCGTTAGTCTCTGAAACTTTGTGCTGCTTTGTGCATATGGTACAGCCCCATCCTGGCCTTCCTGCGTAGTGTCCTCACACCTAGCCGTGACCAGCCTCCTGGGGTGTGTCTACACTGCAAGGGGCAGTGAGTCTCAGAGCCTGGGACTTCAGGGCTTGTGCTACAGCACTAAGAATCATGTGGAGCTGTTCAGACTTGGGCTCAGAACCTGAGGGACCGGGGTGAGCACCCGAGGTCAAGCCGCAAGCTCCACACAGCTGGTTTTAGCACCGAACGTGAGCCCCAGTCCGTAGACTTGCTGCCTCTTGCAGTGTAGCTGTACCCCTAAACTGGGGGCTCTCAACCTTCCCAGGCTGCTGTACCCCTTTCCGGAGTCTGATTTGTCTCTCGCACCCCCATGTTTCACCTCCCTTACAAACTACTTGCTTACGAAATCAGACCTAAAAATACAGCTCTCTCCCAGCACACCAGTACTGAACAATGGCTGACTTTCTTGTTTTTACCACGAATTGTAAAATAAATCACTTGGAATATAAACATGGCACTTACATTTCAGTGTCTAGTCTATAGAGCAGTGTAAACAAGTCGTCGTCTGGAGGACATTTTAGTTCGTACTGACTCCACGAGGGCTGTTTATGTAGCCTGTTGTAAAAGCAGGCCAATATCTAGCTGAGCTGCTGTACCCCCTGAAAAACCTCGGTGTTCCCCTGCTTGAGAGCCTCTCTTGCCCTAGACCAGTGGTTCTCACCCTGTTTACCATTGTGGGCTGTCACATGGGCCGCAGCTCTGGGCTGATTGGGCCGCAGGGTGGGCACCACTGCCCGAGACTGTATCACCCGGGAGCCGCTGGGGTGGAGGCAAAGGGCCCTGTGGCAGGCTGGCCAGTCGGCCCCGTAAGGGGAGCTGGGCTGAGCCCTGCTGTGGCCCGGCGGATGTAACCCCAGCTGAGGGTGCGATGGGGCAAGGCTAAGGATGGGTCCCGGGTATCTGGAGCTGGCTGCACACCGGGTGCAGAACGCAGCTGGGAGGAGCCCGTGAGAGAGGAGCTGGGACAGGCTTGGCAAAGGCAGCCCCGAGTGAGCTGGGAGAAGGGCCTGGAGGAAGGGGGTACCTGGGGCGACGCAGCCCGCAGCCCGTCAGGAAGAAGGTAGGCACAAGCGAGAACCAGCGGTGAGCCCCAGGAGGGCCCAGCGGGCCTGGGGAGGGCAGTTCTACGAAAGTGGCAAGGCCAGGCAAACCCTGACCAGGAGGATGTTTGGGGGACGGGCCTGTGCCCAGCAAAGCTGGTTAGAGGGAGCCATAAAACCAGCAGGGCCATGCTTGAAACGAGGGAACGTGTTGGAGACGGGTTTGCTAAGACGCCAACAGCAAGCGCAATCCCGGCGAGGGCGGCTGCGTGCTGCAGAGCCTATGCGGGGGCAGCCCTGCTTCCGGGCCCATGTGGATGTGGGGCTGGAAGCTTTCATCCTCTCTGTTACCTTCGATGGTGAGCTGAGCCTGGAGGCCTTTGACCAGCTCCGGTCTGGGGACGCATTTCTCCGTGAACTCTCGCTGCGTGGTGCTTTCCATCTCGGCCGCCTGGTCAGGGGACAGGAGAGCGCCTGGGGTGGAGAGAACGGGGCTGGTGCTGCTCAGTGTTCCCAGCGCAGCGGGTCGGGCTGAACCCTGGGTTTTGGGCGTGCTCCTGGGCACGGAGCCCAGCACAGCCCAGCCCCATGGCAGGCACTGTGGGCCCGGTGTCTGGCATTGGAGAGGCCCTCCTGGCTTCTGTAGTACCGGCGAGCACTCAGGGCACTATCCAGATCCAGGACTCAGGGGTGGGGCACGTGGACTGCGGGCACCCCAAGTTAATGCAGCCCCTTTGGCCGATCTCGGCCTGGGGGGCGGGGCAGGGGGGGTCCCAGCGGTACCTGCCAGGGCTGGCGGCTCTCCATAGCAGGCTGGGCGTTCCACTCGCCATCCCTTGTAGCTCTCCTTGGTGGTCGTGGTGTGGGGGAAGCCGGAGCCGTCGGGCTGCCTGTGAGTCGGGGGCCGCCGGAGGGTGGCCACGACCGGCTCCCTGGGCGGGAAGTGGAGGCGGTACAGACTCTGGCTTTGGAAGGGCTCCTCTGGGCACTGATACGCCTCCTGCAAAACATGACTGCCCCGTGCTTTGGGCTAGAAAGGTCAGCCTGTCTCCTCCCCGGGGGGCAGCTGGGCCCACGCCACTCCCAGGGAGCGACGCGTTGCGCTAACCCGGGCTCAGTGGAGAGCAGGCAGTGCAGCCCCCGTTGGCGCTGACTGGGTTCCAGAGTGTCCAGCCGCAGAGGGCGCCTCCCCTCGTGAGGGGTGACTCGTGGCTTAATTCACAGAGCCCCCTTGGCCTGCAGGCCTTGCCAGGGCAGGTGAGTGGGTGGGGTAGAGCCCTGGCCTTCTCAATGGGGGGCGGGTGGGGGAGAGAGGGATTCTTCTTTCTCTCTCGGGAGAGGGGGATGGCAGGACCCTAGCCTGGATCAGCTGCGGTGCTGGCGTTACCCGGACGTGTGCCTTGGTCCTCTGGCCCAGCTCCCAAGGGATGAACTCTGCCCGCTGCGTGGTGCTGAAGGCCATGGCTGGGGGGTTGGGGTGTGGAGGGGTGCGGAGTGGCCTCTTGCTGCTTCGAGGATGCACGTCTGGAGGGGAGGAAGAGTGAGGAGGTGACCGGGAGGCGCACGGGGCATGTGTAAAACTAGGGAGACTGCTTTGGTTCCCCTCGCTTACTTGGTGGCTGGGTGTAAGTTGCCTTGTAATGGGACAGCTGGGGCCGCCTGCAGTCCTGAGGCGCTGGCCGGCTCCGCTTCTTGCAGTTCTTGTGGCACTTGTGTCGACTGAGTGTGACAGAGAAGCAGCTGAGAGAGAGGAACTGAAACCAGGCTCCCCTCCCCTCCGGGAGCCTTCTCCACATCCAGCCTGTGTGCCCCGGGGGGGTGACTGCTCAGGCAGCCGGGTCTGCTCACTGGGAGCTGTGTGCTGGGCAGTGGGGCGGCAGGTGCTCAGCAGCTTTCAGCGCCCCCGAGAACGGCTCCCCTCCACCTGGCACCTCCCAGAGCTTCTGGGGAGACGGATGCTATTGGTAAGAGGAAGAGATCTCTCCTAGGGTGGAGGTAGGAGCTGGAACCTACCAAATACTGTGAAATGACCCTGCCCCCCCGCCTGCTACTGCCCTACTCCCACTACCAACACGGCTCAGGGCACAGCTGCAGGCCTCTGTCATGTTCTGAAAAGAGGTGGTTAAAATTTGTAAGTCCCCAGGGACATGGGTAAACGCTACAGAATACATCCATGCACTCGCACATGGATGGTCTGTGGGGCCGAGACTTTCTCATGCCTCTGGGTACCGCTGCAGTACAAGTGATGATAGCTCTTTGTAAAGCTGCTCTGTACTAACACCGAGAGAGAGACAGCCCTACAGCGAGAGATGTAGAGCAGGCTGCTGTCCTTCTCTGTGCTGCCCATGGCTTCTAGCCTGCCTGCACTCCTCAGTGCCAGCAGCTTTTGCTTAAGATCAGGGCTAGTGTGTGTGGAGTGGGGAAACGAACCAATTCTTGCTCTAGAAGCCTTAAGCAAAAATAAACAAAGGGCGTGTGTCTGTCTGTGCCTGTTCGGGCGCTCACTTACCCACAGTCGCAGAGTTCACAGAGACAAGCAAACTGCAGGGACTCCATCTCCCAGGCTTTGTAGGTCAGGCAAGCGGAGGGAATCCCTCCGCCCCCCACCTGTGAGATGCAGTTTCTGGTTCTAGAGATGACGGGCTACAGGGCTGGTGGTATGGACCCAGGAGTGCTCTGAGCAGCTGCTTCTGGGCTCTATGGAGTCTCTGTTTGGGCTGAGCTTAGGGGTTTAGTGTGTGTTGCAGGTTGCTATGGTTCCTGGTCTCCTGCCTTTCACCCAAGAGTGATTTGAATGTGAATGCTGCTCTAGCAACCCCACAAATGCCAGGTTACCAGGAGTTTAGAGGAGGGGAAGGGCTGCGCTGTGTTTCCCAGGCTAGGTTTGTAACTGAGACAGGATTGGGAGCAGCAGGGCTCCACAGGGCCGCTAACAACCATGGGAAAGTACGCAGCCCTCTGGCAGGGGACAGTCACTCGCAGGCGGGGGCCCCTAGGTGCTGTGCACACCTGGTGAGCTCTGGGGCAGGGGCCTGTCTGCATAGTGAAAGGAAGGGAGGGGGAAAACAGGCCCAGAGAGAAGTGACTTGCCCAGTAGAGCTGGGGTTAGACCCAGGGCTGCTGACTCCCAGGCCAGTACCTTCCACGCTGCTTCTCTAACGCTAGCTAGAACGTCCCCCAGGCTTGGGGGACTCTGGAGAGCCACTGGCCAGCACTGTTCAAGGCGGGTCTGCATCTCCAGAGCCAGCTCTTTGGCATGGCTGCAGGAAGCTGCCTGATCCGGCCAACAACTTCCCTGGGGCCGGAGCTGCTGAGGACCCGTTCAAGGCTGAAGTTGCCACCAACAAGAAGCTGGCCAAGCCAGCACCAATTAGCTGAGAGGCCAATCAGCGTGTTAATTGAGTGTCATCAGTCATTTAATTGTTTGAAGCACTGTTTCATTAACAAGTTGAATGGTCCTGGCAGATGTTAATGGAAGGATGCAGAAGAGTCTCCTTCTCACTGGTTAATAAGGGGGTAACTGCTCAGTAATTGGAGACAAAGGTTATTTTTATTTGCTTTTGGGTTCACGTTTTCAAGCTTTTCTCCACAGCCATGAGCAACAGGAACTTAGCTGCCTGTCTGTCTGTCTTTTTTTTTTTAAAGTGGGATCCTCAGCTAATAACCTGAGTCCCAGGCTTGGGACTTTTAATAATAAATTTACAGTGTTGCCAACTCTCGGATGTTTTATGAGTCTGACAGTATTTGCTGTTCTTCTTAACTGGACTGGATCCGAGAACAAACAGAACAGAAAATCATTCCCTTCCAGCCCTGGAGACTTGGCCAAGTTGAACATAGGTCATCTCTCTCTCTCCCCACCCTTTTGAGCCCATTCCCTCAGGAGTTTACCAAACTCCCAGCAAAATGCATTAAAAACCCCTAAGTTGCCTCGGGGGCTGGTCTCTTACGAGTCCTGTGAAGGTGAAGGAGCAGTTCAGTGGTGCTGATGGACACAGGGCTGCCCACCCTCTCCGGTAATGATGTTTGGTGAGCGTGTGTCTGTATAATTTACTTGCTGTTGTGACTTGACCCTGCACAAAGCGTAATGGGGTCAGTCCCCGACCGCCACCCACTCCCTGCTGCAGGAAATACCCATTTCCAGCTGCTCAAAGACAGGCACATCCCCTCTGCTTTAATTCCAGGCCCTCCCAGGGCTGAGGGAGAATGTCAGTCTCACCTCCCAGCTTCTATCGGACTTGATTGGTTTTCTAAGCATTTCTGAAACCAGCCCTGGCTGCCCAGTAGCCAAGCCGGATCCTACACTCACCCAAAGGGGGTTGCTGTATAACAACAACAGCCCCACAACAACAAACCACCACCCAACAGGCAGCCCAGCCCTCAGAAGCCGCTGTGCGGTGTGCATGGCCCGTCAGCGCCAGTGAGCAGCCCTAGAGCCAACCAGCGCGTCACGCGAGAGGGACAGCACACATTTCAGGTGATGACTCAAGTATTAAATGATGCAGCTAGAAAAAAAAGGGAAGCCCCTGAAATCTCTCTGGATTCCAGCTGAATTTATGACCAAGAACTAGTTCCCTCCCCGGCACTGAAGAATTGGCCTCGCGAGCTGTTAATTCAGGTGTTGAAGCTAAAGGCTGGGGCTGCTGCAGGGCTCAGTGACATATCTCATGGCAGAGCAGGGGCCAGGAAGGGGATGGCTCAGCCCACACGCCAGGCTGAGCTGGGGAGGGCAGGGAGGGAACTTGCACTCAGAAGTGGACAGTTGCTGCCCGAGGGGTTTCCAACATGTGCATGAGCCTGTCCCATCACACCTTTCTGAGGCTGTTTTGGTGGGGGGCTGACCCCAGGGTGAAGCAAGGCACAGGAGGCCCCATGCAACTCATACCCCAGCCAGGAGCTCAGGAGGGGGCATTATCTCATCATGGGGGGAAGTGCTGACAGCAAGGGGCCAGGAGCTGTCCCCTGCCTGTTCTGAAAGCCTCCGTCAGGACGGGAATCCTCTGTTCAAACACTTCAGGTGCTTCCTCCAAGCTCAGTGCACTGTGCTCAGGGGGGGCTGCAGGACAGGTGGAGCGTGCATTGCTCCTCTGTGCCGGGTGCTCTCCTGGCTGCTTTTGGGGGGTGAGGAGCCCTGCTTTCCCCTCCCCCAGTTAGTTTCCTTGCCCCAGAGAAGTAGTAACAATGGCTGCTGCATGGAGATGCCTCTCTCCTCCCTGCCTGGCGGTGTGTGTGTGTCGGGGGGAGGGCAGCTCCTGAGGCCTCTGCTCCCCCTGAGCCAGGATGGGTGGGGTTCCTTGAAGCCCTGTTCCCTCTGGAACCCATTTCAGTGCTCAGTCTTCACGAGCCTCAAGTGGCTCTTGCCAAGTAGCCCACGCCCCAGTTATTGCACTGGGCGGTTCCCCTCACAGGTGACCTTGGCTCCCCAGGCTGGAGGTGGGTTGCCCGAGGGTGCTCCCCGCTAATTAGCTGGAGGTGCAGAGCTATATTATAGTCTCAATAGTCAAGGTGCTGCGGGCCCACCAGAGGGCACTGTGACACCAGCTATCTGTGCCCTGGGCCTGCAAGGGGCTGGGAGTGGGGGCTAAGTGCGAGTCTGTCATTGCAGCCCTGCCCCCTTGGCATCACTGGCCTGGAGCGTCTAACCAGCCCTAGAGCCACAGCTTGGGGGTGGGCGTCACAGCTCCCCTGTGCAGGGTGGCCAGGTCCCATGGCAGCATGGGCCTTTCCGCAAACACCTGGCATGATGTTATTTAAAAATACAGCTTCCATGGCCATGATGTCCAGTGCTCAGCCCTCCTGGGATGGACGAAAAGGGCTTTATAGGCTTCCACCTCCTGGGCTCTATCTCCAATTTAGAGGTGGGGAAACTGAGGCACAGAGTAGTGGTCTGCTTGGGCCTGACCTGGATTTAAGCCCACCTGAGCTTGAGAGGGTTGTGTCATTTTCCACCCCAACACAAACCGGAGTTGCCCCTGGGGTTGGTGTGGCTGCATGCCCCACTCCCTCCAGAGCGAGAGGTGCTGCCGTTCTGGACCTAGGGCAGTGAGGAGGCCGTGGCTGGCACGAGGGAGGGCACGTGGCTGCCCCAGGCTGATCCCAGGAGGAGGAAAACTGCCCTGAGAGGGTCTGCTTGTTTTCTCAGCACTTGTGGCTGGGTTCGGGTCGGGTCACAGGGTTCTAGCACAGAGAGGGGAAGTGACTTGTCACCCAGCAAATCAGTGGCAAAGTGAGGGCTAGAACCCAGGAGTCCTGTCAGGGCTTCTCACTAGCCCTCAGACTGGTCATGCCCTACCACTGTAAGTGTCCGTACACCTGCTGCGCTGGGAGGGGCAGCGATGGGCTTCCAGCTCTCTGGCTTCTCCTTCTGACCCCTCTCTTCCTGCATGAGCATGAATCTGTTGCCTGAGAGCTGCCAGGCAGGAGTGGTGGAGGTTCACGGCCCTCCCAGGAGACTTTTGCTCCCCTAACACAATACCAGGTAGCTGACATCACAGGTCATTTGCCTTCAGAGAGTGAAAAACTCTCACCTGACAGTTTTCAGAGTAACAGCCGTGTTAGTCTGTATTTGCAAAAAGAAAAGGAGTACTTGTGGCACCTTAGAGACTAACCAATTTATTTGAGCATAAGCTTTCGTGAGCTACAGCTCACTTCATCGGATGCAACACCTGACAGTGTCATTAATCAGGTGGCACTGAACAGAGCTGCTAATGTTTGTGCTTAATTAGTGCTAATGCAGCTGGGGGCCTGGGGATCATTTGAGGGAAGATTTCACACACACCCCTCATCTTCTTCACTGGAGCTGGCAGTAGCTGGCCCTGCGGTACCTTAAACGTGGTGCCCTTAGGAAAGTGTCCAGATCTTTCATGACAGGCTGGAATCAGGGCAGGGCTGGGTCCCAAACCAGTCCCCTAGATCCAGTCACCTCTGGATATCAGGGATATTTGGATCCAGAATTGAGGCAGTTGTGTTATCATGCACACCTGCTGTATTCTTTGTGAATCCTGCTCCCCACATTTCCACCTCAGGTGTGTGATGTCGTCCCCACCCCACCCCCCAAAAAAAGCCACAAAGCATTATGGGTTGGTCTGTGCAAAACAGAGTGGCCTGCTGTTTCTTTACTTGCAGGTGCAGAGTTCTGTTTTTACAGTACCCACATGCTTTGGATCTGGTTTTTGCTGTCAGAAGGCCCTGGTCTGAGAGAACTGTGCTGGGCTACAGAACAGAATGGAAGTCGGATCAGAATGTGCAGAAACAGATCACTAATGGGTCCCTGCTTCAAACAGCTGTGTTGCTGAGTGCATGGTGCCTGTGTGCTATAGCAGTTTTAGGCATGCATAGGCTGTGTGTATCCTTATTGTGTGCTTTACTGTGTCTGCATCCATTGTTCCCAGGGGTTGTGTATATCCATGCTACACGGTGTTCATTCCTAGCTCCCTCTAGGCATGGGATGAATGACACCAGCTGTTGCAAAGCTGGTGAAATGTTTGAGGGACGACCCCTTTCAGTGGCCGTTACCTGAGGATATCTGGATGCAGGCCAGAGACGTGCTCATGCCGGAATGTAAGTGGATGGACTCAGGTGGCCTGCGGGGACACTCTGTGAAGAACCCTGGTTCTAATGAGCCTTAAAGAGAGACGCTGTGCTACCAAATGGCTGGCTTGGCAACGTTTAGGGTTCCCACATGGACAGGACATGTGCCTCTTGCTCAGCCAGCCAGGCAAGCA